TTTATTCGATAGAGAAAAATTACAAAATAAATTTGAAATATATTTACAAGTTTAGTCTTTAGAAAATTCATGGTTAGGTTTGTCTAAATTAACCCTGCTGAGGTGATTAAAATAACCATACACTTGTGGCCAGGCACAGTGGCTCCTGCCTGTAATCCCAGCACTTAGGGAGGCCGACGCAGGTGGATCATGAGGTCAAGAGATTGAGACCATCCTGGCCAACATGGTAAACCCCATCTCTGCTAAAATACAAAAATTAGCAGGGCATTATGGCACATGCCTGTAATCCCAGCTACTTGGGGAGCTGAGGCAGGAGAATCACTTGAACTCAGGAAGTAGAGGTTGCAGTGAGCTGAGATCATGCCATTACACTCCAGCCTGAGTGACAGAGAAAGACTGTCTCCAAAAAAAAAAAAAAAAAAAGTCAGCAAAACTAGGAGGGGCAGAGTGACTCAACGCCTGTAATCACAGCACTTTGGGAGGCTGAGGCAAGCGGATCACTCAAGGTCAGGAGTTCGAGACTAGCCTGGCCAACATGGTGAAACCCTATCTCTACTAAAAATACAAAAAGTAGCCAGGCATAATGAGACATGTCTGTAATCCTAGCTACTCAGGAGGCTGAGGCAGGAGAATTGCTTGAACCTGGGAGGCAGAAGTTGCAGTGAGCTGAATCACACTACACCCCAGCCTGAGCAACAGAGTGAGACCCTGTCTCAAAAAAACAAATAGGCAAAAGTACTAAAACACTCTTGCCCCCAAATGTGGGTTGGAATAACAGCATGGTCACAAGTCTAAGATAAATTGTGGCTTTATAAACACTAATACTAGAATCATCTAAAAAGCTTTTTAAAATATTGATGTCCAGTCCTACCACAAAGATTCCAATTTAACTGGTTTGGGGCACACTCTGGGCATCCAGATTTTATAAAGCTCTCCAGATGATTCTAATTCAAAGATGAAAACCACTGAGAAAAAGGAACATGTTAACATGAGGAACAATCTGACAAATACAGAATGTAAAACATTATACAGGATAAATGATTCGGTCTCCAGTAAATCAAGTGCACAGAAATGACTATTCAAGATAAAGAGAGTTTTAAGATAATCAGGGCAGGTGTCATGGCTCACACCTGTAATTCCAACTTTGGGAGAAGCAATTGAAAACAGGAGTCTGAAACCAGCCTGGACAACATAGCAAGTCTTCTCTAGGAAAAATTAAAAGAAAAAATTAGCCAGGTGTGGTGGCACCTGTCTGTGGTCCCAGCTACTCAGGAGATGAAGGGCTGAGGTAGGAAAACTGCTTAAGCCTGGGGAAATGGAGGCTTCTATAAGCTGTGATCCCGCCACGGCACTCCAGCCTGGGGAAATAGCGGCTTCAGTGAGCTGTGATCCTGCCACTGCACTCCAGCCTGGGTAAGACCCAGAGTGTGGGGGGTGGGGGGGAGAGGAAGGAATCAATCAATCAATGCATATATAGACCTTGTCTGAAGACCAATTTCAAACAATGTAAAAAGACACCCAGGGAATAAAAAGAAAATCTGGATATGGACTCTGCGATACTGGCACTTGGTGGTATAAGTAGTTATTTTTTAGAGATGGACTTTGACAAATTTAGAGATGAAATGTAATGTCTGGAATTTGCCTTAAAATATTCCAACACATTAACCAATAAAATGAATGGCTTTCTGGAATTTGCTCAAAAATAAGGGTGCAGATAATATGCAACATTCTCTGATAATCACTGGAGTTAGAAAATGGGTACCTAGTGGGTCGGTTATTATTTCCATTGATAGTTTATTAAAACGTATATATACCCCAAAAAGAAACGAAAGTAAATATAGCAAGTTAGTAACATTCAAAATTCAAATTTCTTGGCCAGGCACGGTGGCTCACACCTGCAATCCCAGCACTTTGGAACACCGAGGTGGGCAGATCACCTGAGGTCAGGATTTCAAGACCAGCCTGGCCAACATAGTGAAACCCCATCTCTACTAAAAATACAAAAATTATCCAGTGACTTGCTCGAACCTGGACAGCAAAGGTTGCAGTGAGCCAAGGCTGCTCCTCAAAAGAGAACGTCTTAAAAAAAAAATTCAAATTTGTTGATCACACAGGGGTGCATTATATTATTCTCATTTGTGTACATGTGGAATACTTCTTTTTTGTTGTTGCTTATATTTTGAGTCAGGGTCTCGCTCACCCAGGCTGGAGCACAGTGGCTTGATCACGGCTCACTGCAGCCTCGACCTCACTTCAGGAGGGTCTGGAACTCCTGGCCTCAAGTGTCCCGCCAAAGTGCTGACATTATAGGTGTAAGCATGGCAGCTGGCCTGAAATACTTCTTAAGATATTTTTAGAAGACTCTGAAAGTTAGGCCGGGCGCGGTGGCTCAAGCCTGTAATCCCAGCACTTTGGGAGGCCGAGGCGGGTGGATCACGAGGTCAAGAGATCGAGACCATCCTGGTCAACATGGTGAAACCCCGTCTCTACTAAAAATACAAAAAATTAGCTGGGCATGGTGGCGCGTGCCTGTAATCCTAGCTACTCAGGAGGCTGAGGCAGGAGAATTGCCTGAACCCAGGAGGCGGAGGCTGCGGTGAGCCGAGATCTCGCCATTGCACTCCAGCCTGGGTAACAAGAGCGAAACTCCGTCCCCCAAAAAAAAAAAAAAAAAAAAGACGACGACTCTGAAAGTTTAGAAGCTATACATATACCATAAATGAAAGAATAATTCTCCTCTACACAAGAGGTTCATCATCACTCAGTCCTGGGGGACTGGAGGGCAGAGAGGAAAGCAAAGAAGAAAGTATACCCACCAGACAGACCAATCAGGAAGGCAATAAGAGATGCCAAATCACAGCCATATTATCACAGAATTTAAATGATTTTAAGCCGGGCGCGGTGGCTCACGCCTGTAACCCCAGCACTTTGGGAGGCCGAGGTGGGTGGATCACGAGGTCAAGAGATCGAGACCATCCTGGTCAACATGGTGAAACCCCGTCTCTACTAAAAATACAAAAAAATTAGCTGGGCATGGTGGCGCATGCCTGTAATCCCAGCTACTCAGGAGGCTGAGGCAGGAGAATTGCCTGAACCCAGGAGGCGGAGGTTGCGGTGAGCCGAGATCGCACCATTGCACTCCAGCCTGGGTAACAAGAGGGAAACTCTGTCTCTAAGTAAATAAATAAATAAATAAATGATTTTAAACAACAGTAAGTAGAATTTTGAGCAATTCTAGCAACAATAGCCAAAAAAATTATATAAACTTTTTTTATTTTTATTTTTTAAAGAAACTAGGCCTTGCTCCATCTCCCAGGCTGGAGTACAGTGGCAGGAGGACAGTTCAACGCAGCCTCAAACTCCCAAGGTCAAGTGATCCTTCTGCTCAGCCTCCCAAGTAGCTGGGACTACAGGCACACACCACCACATCTGCCTAATTCTCTGTTATTTATTGTGGAGACAGGGTCTTGCTTTATGCCCAGGCTGGTCTGGAACTCCTGGCTTCAAGCCATCCTCCTACCTAGGCTTCCTAACATGCTGGGATTACAGCTGTGAGCCACTGCACCCAGCCCCTATAAATATATTTTAAAAGTAACTTTTCCAGTAGTTACAGCACTACACTTGTTTCAAGTTATTTTCTCTCAGGCCGCATGACTACAGTATCATAACCAATAATGCTTTTCTGCTTCACTGATAAGGCTATATTATCAAAGCTATATTATCCACGGAGAAAACTAAGAGAAGGCAAAAAAAAAAAAGTCTCAAAATGTCAAATTCAAGAAAACAAATTGCCATTATCAGAATTTTTAGAACTCATTCTCTTGAAAGCATCCACTTTTAAGTGTTTACTTCAAAATCTAAGACGGCAAATATTAAGATTCTCTTACTTGCACCAGGTTTCAAGTGTTAATACTTAACGAAAAATACTCTTTAGTAGAAAGAGGGTTTTCCCATGTTAACTGTTCATAGAAATAACACATCCTCTGGTTTCCTTTGTTGTCTAATTCAAAATTACCACTTTTTTTTTCTTTTTCTCACTTGCCACCATACTCTACCACTTAAATAGCTACAGGTCTTCAGGCTGTGGTAAAGTTCACTCAGAAGCTCTTTTCCCTGTCAATTGTTTTCCTTACACAAGATGAGGAATATGGCCTGACAACTAAATTCCAATAACGAAATGGTAAAATGTCTTATTCCAGTAAAATCAAATGAATCCCTGCAACTGCTCCAACTATAGATAAAACCAAGTTATATAAATAGTGAGAGCAACTAACCAGGTTCGCAAAGTATAAATGAGACTGTAACGCACGATTAACAGAGCTGAAAAGAAAAAAGTACCTATTTGAAGCGCTTTAAATTATGTTATTATCTAGTTATCACAGCAACATCAGTGTGCAACTCATCAAAGTAAATCAACTTTTTACGGCGTTCAACAAATATTGTACAGTACAGAGGAGCACAAGCTAGTGGCATATTCACACAGCAGCAAGATTTTTATGACGCTGCTGCGGACAAAAACAAAAAATAAAAAGCTCAACGCAAGAATATTTCTCCACCTTCAGAGACCAATGATTCTATTCCTAGGGAACAAGTGGCGGACAGACCTGGGCGGGCCAAGAGCGGGGAGGCCAATCAGAGCGCGAGTTACAACTGCGGAGGCGGGGAGAGCGGATGAAACCGCCCCGTTGACTGGCTGGCTGAGTACGCCACACCCCGCAGAGGCGGCCGCACCTGGACCCCCACCCCTGCCGGCGGACCTCCGCGAGTCACCCCCCACCCCTCCGCCCCGCACCGCCCCCCCAAGACTGTTTCCTGCCAAGACAAACCTGGCTGCCTCAAAAACAAAACAAAATCTTCAGCAGGGAACGCAGCTCTCCTGGGGCCACCCCCAGTGCGGCTCACACTTTGCACCCCGCGGGCCGGGGTCCCCGCGAGGGAAAGGGGTAGGGGCGGGGGGCGGTGCACGGAGAACCCGGGGAGCAAACGTGCCCAATGCTCACCAATTCCTCGTAGCTCCTGTTGTGCTCGTTGCCCTCCCAGTCCAACCTCTTCGGCAACAACTGGAAAGACACGAAACGTACACAAGTGACCACCGCTCCGGCGCGGGCGCGGGGCGGGCGCGGGGCGGGCGGGGGGCGCGGGCGAGCATCCCTCAGGGCAAGGTCGGGAGGAGGGACGCGAGGGAGCGCGGGGCTGGGCGCGCGGGGACGGCGGGCACAGACCTGGTACTGCTCCAGCTCCTGCACCAGCACCTGCGGCCGAGAGACGTGCGGTCAGGGGTGGGGTCGGGCCCGGACGCGGGGCGCGCCCGCTTCACCCCCGCCCTCCACCCGCGACCCCCGGCGGCGGCGGGGACGCCAAGGACGCCAAGGCCGCCGCCGCCGCCACCCGCGGGCCCGCACTCACCTGGGCCGCTCTCCGACACGGGCCCGCCGATAGGTACCGGGCGATGAGGAAGTACAGCTCTGCGGGAAGACGGGGAGTTGGGTCAAGCCCGGGCGGGGAGGGGAGGGGAAGCGGCCGGGGGAGCCGAAGCAGCCGGGGGCGCCGGGGAGGGGGTGGCAAGGCCCTGCGTCTTACCCGACTCGATGAGAGGCACCGGGCGTCGGGCGGACGAAGGCTCCGCCATGGCCGGGCGCGGGGCGGGAGGCGGGAGCGAGCGAGCGAGCGAAGCGTGTAGGCCGCGCCGAGGCCTGACCGGGCCGGCGTCCCCTCTCCTCAGGCGCGCGCCGCCGCCGCCGCCGCCGCCGCCGCCATGCCGTGCGCGCCGCCAGGGCCGACGCCTCCGCGGGGGAGGAAGTAGTCCCGCCGCGGGTGACGGCAAGTAGTCCCTCCGCGGGGGGCGGGGGCCTCAGCGCCCAGGGAGGACCCGAGCTCGAGCTCCGTCCGGGAAAGCGAGCCTCGCCCGGCTCCCTGTCTCCGGAGACTCGAGGAGGAGAATGTGACGCGGAGGCAAAGACCTGGACCCGGGGCGGCGGAGAAGAGCGGGGGAGGGGAGCGCGCGTGGCCCAGATCCCTGCGCGCGATGAGGCGGCCTCCCGAGCTTTGTGAGGCGGCGGCGCGTTGCCGGGCTGCCCAGTTGCGGGCGGGTGCTGGGGGCGGAGGTCTGGCTCGCCGCGGGTCGGGAGCGCGGCCGCGGGAGGCGGCCAGTCACCGCCTTCCCCCGCGGGTCCTGGGTCCTCAACACGGGGCCGCAGGGGCGGCGGGTTCGGCAGGGTCGCACGCTCCAAGCTGCTCAGAACGGACGTTTCATGGACCGGTTATCGGGACCCAGCGTGTTTTGCCTTCCACGAAAGACCGCTCGCTTCGAGGACGCGAAAGCCTTCCAAGTGAGGATTGGCCCGCCGCGCCTCCCGCAGAAGGGAGTCCGCTCGGACCCGCGCTCCTGGGCGGATGCCGGCATTCCGGCGCGTCCGCGGCGCTGAAGGCGGCCGAGACCCAGCCGCAGCCTCGCAGAAATAGTTAAATAAAATGCTGCGCCGTGCGGAGGGTGTGCGAGTCGGGGGAGCAGCACGCAGCTGCGGCTGGCGGCTGGGCCGGACACGTCCGAGCACGGACTGGAAAACGGGATTGCGGGGAGAGGGCGGCGCGGACGGGCCGCAGACCCTCCCTAGGAAGAGAAGCCAGAAACTCGGGAGCCATGTGCAGTTAGAATCCTTGGAAGACTAGTCGGATGAGAGGTTGGAGTGGTGGACGAGGACCAGAAAATTCCCTTGTCATGCCAGACTTCTGACCTAACCGGATGAGTTTCCTGAGCACATCCAGCCTGCCCTGCTCTGACCCCTAAATGGTGTCTCTGCCTTCCTGGAATGCACATTCACATTGATTCCTACGCACAGCAGTAACCTACACAGCCCAGAGAGGTTCAGATCAGACTCCAGGCAGGAATCTGCCTGCACCTTGTCCTGGCTCCACCAGCTTGACCTTGAGCGAGTCACAACCTGTGGGTCTCAGTTTCCCTTACCAGTAAACCGTAGATAACTCCTCACTAGTAAACTGCAGGTAATATTTGGGCCTGCCTCATAAAGTTGTGAGGATTTAATGAATTAATGTGTTCCTGGCATATAGGAAGCACCGTATACAAGTTGGCTCTTATTTACACCAAATAGCAAAAGCTTTCTATTTTTTAATTTATTCATTTATTTATTTTTTGAGACAGCTCTGTCGTTCAGGCTGGAATGCAATGGCGCCATCTCGGCTTACTGCAACCTCTGCCTCCTGGGTTCAGGATTCTCGTGCCTCAGCGCCCGGAGTAGCTAGAATCACAGGCACGCGCCACCACGCCCAGCTAATTTTTATATTTTTAGTAGAGACAGGGTTTCCCCATGTTGGCCAGGCCGATCTCGAACTCCTGACCTCAGGTGATCCAGCCCCCCCCCCACCCCCGGCCTCCCAAAGTGCTGGGATTACAGGCGTGAGCCACCGCGCTTGGCCAAAAGCTTTTATATAGCTGTATAGATGGATATAGATACCTGTGAGGTAACAATCTAAACATGTTTGGGCTAGTGCATCGGTAAGTTAACAACTTACATCTGTTTATTCAGCAAGCACTAGTAAGTGATGGTGATTTAAAAAAAGGAATGAGCCACAGCTTTGCCATCAAAGGCTTCAGCCTCTTTTAGAGGAAACAGATGTAAGCAAATAATGACATGATTTACGGCAGAGATAGGCGGAAGATCAAATTGCCTGTGCGTGGGGGAAATGTTAGGGAAGTTTGGGTTATCAAGGCTACAATGTGTAGAAAGGGATTTCAGACGTATGAACAACAGAGGGCTAAGACATGAATATAATTTCTAGTTTAAGGAACCCCAAGTTTAGTATGACTACTTGGAGTGACTTTGGGGAGGATGGGACCATGACGTCAGAAGTTCAAATTTGGAGCAATTGAAGGGTTCTACGCCAGGAAGCAATCATTTTCTATTTTAGGACGGATTTGAGAAGGTTAAGACCAAGAGGCACTTAACAGACCCCTGAAATAGAAAAGAAATGATACATGAGGGCAGTGGTCATAAGGATGGAGAAGAGACGAATTCAGAAATATGTAGGACGTTAAGTCTGCAAGATGAAGTTGGGTGGAATAAGAAAAATCACAAAAATCTTGTTTGGGGCTTGTCAAAGTTGTGCCAATAAATAAAGTAGGGCATACAGACTGTAGCTAAATTAACTGCTTGCAACAACTTGATTATTCGAACTTACATTCTATAGATTACTGTGGGACAGTGTGATCTGACGCTGCAAGATTGCCAGTTACCAAATGACAAAGACATCAAGTTGGGAAAGTTTTAATTTTCAAAGATTGAGCAAGGAGTTGTGTATTTCGTTTTGTAACAAGGTCAGAAGATAAAAACTCCCAAAAGATAACGACGAGAATTTATATCCTAAGCTCTGGTCGTTGTCGAAAATTATAATTCTGGTATTGGCAGCATGATAACCATTACAAGAGATCAGAAATGATGGCACAAGGCCAGACACAGTGGCTCGCACCTGTAATCCCAGAGCTTTGGGAAGCCAAGGCCAGAGGATTGCTTGAGCCCAGGAGTTCAAGACCAGCCTGAGCAACTTAGTGAGACCCCATGGCTACAAAAAGTAAAAAAATTTGAAAATAGCCAGGCATGGTAGGTGCATACCTATAGCCCCACCTACTTAGGCTGAGGCAAGAGAATGGCTAGAGCCGGGGAGATTGAGTCTTCAATGACATGATCAAAGCACTGCTCTCCAGCCTGGGCAGAAGAGCAAGACCCTGCCTCAAAAAACAAAAGACATGATGACATGAGATTTTCTTTGCAAGAGCCCTCGAAGTCTTTTTACAACTTACTGTCACATTCATGACAAATATTCTTTCTAGATTTTGAATAGGAACAAATATTTCTATCAAGAGGGAGAATATCTTCCCCATTCAATTCCCAGATGTCAAGAGAGCCAGATGTGACTTTCACATTTCCCTACCAGGAGGAGAAAAAGGGAATACCTTGTCCATCAGCAACTCCTTAGTGGGTACCTGCCAGAAGTGCTCTCCAAACAAGGCAGGAATCTGTGTGTTCCTCTCACAATTCAAGCCATTCCAAATGTACACACTGAGGTTTGCTTTTGGGTAAATGAAAATAACTTTTTTTTTTTTTTTTTTTTGAGACAGAGTCTCTATTGCCCAGGCTGGAGTGTAGTGGCATGATCTTGGCTCACTGCAACTTCTGCCTCCCAGGTTCAAGCAATTCTCTGCCTCCGCCTCCTGAGTAGCTGGGATTACAGGTGCCACCCATCAAGCCCAGCTAATTTTTGTATTTTTAGTAGAGACAGGGTTTCATCATCTTGGCCAGGCTGTTCTTGAACTCCTGACCTCGTGATCCACCCGCCTTGGCCTCCCAAAGGGTTAAGATTACAAGGGTGAGCCACTGCACTTGGCCATAACTTTTGAGTTTCACCACAAGAAAGCTATATGGTAAGCAAGTGTTGGAAAATCTTAACAGCAGGTGACATTAAGCTGTAGGGTTGCATTTTCAAGGAAACCAGTATCTTAGCCCATGGCAAGCAATTCCTGACTGGATAAATACTCTTAGATGTCATTGATAGGCTCCCTGCACAAGGAAAAAGCTGAGGCACAGAGAGATTTGAGTATGGCCCAAGGACACAGATTTGGTAAGTGGCGGCTGGACTGCAAGCCCAAGTAGACAGTATTACCTTAGACTGAAATGCAAACACTGCAATGTCTTTTCTCACTTGGTCACATTTCACAAAAGAGGAAAATGGGCCCTGAAAAGTAGAACACTTACACAAGATTGCACAGCTAGTGCATCAGAGAGCTGACATTTGAATGCCCACATGATAAGTACATGCATAAACTCATTTACCGCAGGCAACTCTTAGAATCTGTTATTCCCATTTTAAGAATGAGGAAACTAGGTTAGGTGTAGTGGCACTTGTCTGTACTATCAGCACTTTGGAAGACCAAGGCAGGAGGATCAATTGAGTCCAGGAGTTCAAGGCTGGTCTTGGACACAGTTAGACCCTCTCTCTACAAAAAATAAAAATAAAAAATTAGCCCATGCATGGTGTCGGGTGCCTATAGTTCAAGCTATTGGGGAAGCTGAGGCAGGAGATCACTTGAACCCAGGAGTTCTAGTCATGAGCTATGACGGCACCACTGCACCCCAGCCTGGGCAACGGAGCGAGACCCTGTCTCAAAAAAGAATGAGGAACTAAAGCTAATCAAGTTTAAGAATTTGCCTAAGTAAGGAAAGCCTTTTTTTTTTTTTTTTTTTTTCCTGAAACGGAGTCTCACTCTGTTACCTAGGCTGGAGTGCAGTGACGCGATCTCAGCTCACTGCAACCTCTGCCTCCCAGGTTCAAGCAATGCAACCTCAGCCCCCGAAGCAGTGGGGATTGCAGGTGCATGTCAGCATGCCCAGCGAAATTTTTTTTTTTTTTTTTAGATGGAGTCTCGCTCTGTTACCCAGGCTTGAGTGCAGTGGCACTGTGATCTCGGTTTACTGTAACCTCTGCCTCCTGGGTTCATGCGATTCTCCTGTCTCAGCCTCCTGAGTAGCTGGGACCATAGGGGTGTGCCACCACACCCACCTAATTTTTTGTATTTTTAGTAGATACATGGTTTCACTGAGTTAGCCAGGATGTTCTTGATCTGACCTTGTAATCCGCCCACCTCCGCCTCCCAAAGTGCTGGGATTGCAGGTGTGACCTACCACACCCAGCCTAATTTGTTTGTATTTTTAGCAGAGATTCGGTTTTACCAAGTTGGTCAGGCTGGTCTCAAACTCCTGACCTCAGGTGATCCACCCGCCCTGTCCTCCCAAAGTGCTGGGATTACAGGCATGAGCTATAGCGCCCAGCTTTACTTTTTTTTATCTGTCTGTGAATGAGAGGAAAATAAAATTCAGTAGACCCTTCCAAGTCACCACTTAGGAGGCCCAACAGCATTAAAGGTGAATGCATATCTAGAAAATGGTGACC